AAAAAAAAAAAAAAAACTTTAGCCACGACTGTCAGGATACTTTCTGCATTTTTTCAGTACAATTCATGTTTTTACTTTAAAAATTGAAAGAATAATTACACACAGTGTCAGCATTTAAAGAAACCAGTACTATTCTCGAAAAAGAAAATAACACAATGACTGAAACACAACTTAGAGAGAGGCTTTTAAATTAATGAGCAGGATTTTGGGACAAGGTTTAATATTCCGTTGAGCTTAGTGTGAGTAATAAGATCTATGCAAGAGGAAGACAGCACATCCATCTACTTCTCAACTAGTACTGAACGTGAGTCCAACTTCATTTTAGTGTGCGAAAGAACATATGGCAGAAGAATCTTTACCACTGGACTATTGCAAGATCAGAAAAAAGAATGAAAAACAATTTGATTATTATGTAGAAGTTTCAAATCATAATTCCGTTTCTCCCATCTTCTAGAAGGAAAGAGTAAAGAAAAACTCTAATATTTTTACAGAAACAATACTTGACTGCACCAACATGATACCATAGACATTAGTTCATCAAATGCTCAAACCAAGCTTGGTTTGAAATACAAATGACCTGTACAAGTACACACCACCAAATTCGACAAAAAAAAAAAACCGAAACCAGAACATGTGCAAAACACTTCAAAAGATTATAGAGCCTTACCTTGCCAATAAGAACAGACTTTGCCTTCTTAAAACTTGCACCAAGCTTTTCAAATTCGGGAGCAAGCTTCTTGCAATGTCCACACCTGCACAAGAAAGAACATCACATCATAAAAAATAATTAAACAAAGCAATGTAGTTACAAAATAACAACCACTGGTAAGATTCTCCGTCAATCAATAAATTGCAGCTTTAAATTAAAATCACCCCTAATCTACGAATACACAAATAAATGACGGTCTTGTTGGGATATTACCACAACGGATAACTGATTGCATTAACGAATATCAAATTTAACTAGCTAATTCAATCAGCAATTTCTCAAATAAGCGTTGCCGGAAATAGCGGAAATCTACAGTTATGTTGTATTGTGTTTTCTTGAATCCTCTCTTCCCAAACAAACAAATGATGCCCTTTTGAACAATCAAATAAGCTCTTCACAATACAAACTAATTGAGGATTTGTTTTGTCAATCCTCCAACTGAGCTTCTATCCGCTAATTTAGCATCAATCCGCTAACAAACTAACCGAGTCCATATTTCTTCACTTAGTCATCAGGAGAACGTTTAAAATTACACATCAAAATTTGCAATATTTTATGTTGAAGTCGGAGAGGACAAAATCTAGACAGATCCTATGAATAACCAGATCCATATCAACAAAAACGAGCTCAAAACTCACAGATCTACTACAAGTGAGAGGGTAATCAACAAACAGCTATGGCACACAACTCCAAACAAAACAATTTCAAGCATGGATAACAAACAGAATGCGAAGAACAAAACCTCAGCAGAAAAAGGTAAAAGCAAATCTCAAATAAAAGAAAAAAATCCATACCAAGGAGCATAAAACTCGACGAGAGCTCCGCGATCTTTACCGACCTCGTTATCGAAATTCTCCTCCGTCAACACAACGACGTCGTCGGCAAACGCCGACGCTAAAAACGACAGAGTTAATGCGGCGGCGACCAAGCAGATCTGTGAACGTGAAGACGACATTTTTTTTGGCTTGGATCGAACTTTGGAAGAAAATGAAAAGAGTTTTAAAGTGGTTTTTATTGCAGCTGTTACGCTTGGTATATATAGTTGCAGGTCCTCAAACATTTATTTTTTTTTCTCTTAACTAATTAATTATATTCTACAACATAATAAATGTATTTTTTTTGGATAATTCACATTTCTGATTTTATTGTTATATATAGCATTTCTATTTTTTTTTTAAGCACTGTATATTCTTAGTTATATTTGAGGTTGTTAATATAATATTTGAAATTCTTCTTAAAAAAAAAAAAGATACTAATAAAGGGTGAAATTAAAAAAAAAAAAGGACAAAATAAAAATAATTTAAGAATGCATAGACTTTATCATGTTAAAGTCAGGGAAGTAAAAGACTTTTTATCAAATATAGACGTGTCAAGGTGACATGGTCCAACCTATTACATAAAGCCACGTGTACGAGTTTTTCAAATCTACATATTTATAGAATATTTTATTGTTCAGGGTTAATATAGGTGTCCACTTGTGTGGTAATAATGTTGATCCAATATTGAAAAATTGAAATTTTGATCCTCCCACCACTTTATTTTACATGAAAAACGTATTCTGAGAATACATTTTTCAATTAATTCACTTTATTTTACATGAAAAACGTATTCTAAGAATACATTTTTCAATTAATTTAATTGAAAAATGTATTTTCAGAATACGTTTTTCATGTAAAATAAAGTGGTGGGCACTGACCACCGTGAGCAGGTGAGCGAGACTATGAAAAATTGATGATTATAGTACAAAGTGTATATTTTATTGTTTGGGACTATAAGTAATGTTTTTTTTTTTCCTTTTTTATTGCTCGATGTTATCTATACATATATATAATTGTTGGCTAAACATTAAATAAAAAATATTTTATAATTATAATGTTCATTTGCTATTAGTGATCATCATTATAAAATGTGACATATTCATCATTTAACTTATAATATTTAACTTGCATCTGTACATGTGCGCATGATCAAATACTCGTGTATGTATATATTTTGTGTGGTATATATATGTATGTATATACTTTGTTTGGTATATATTTTATGTATGTTAATCCAATATTGAAGAGTCTTATTATGTCAAATGTACTAAAATTTAACTGTAATTTTGAATTGGTAGATTAAGACACACTTGTATGACTATGACATATTAATTCAACAACTATCAATGGGTCTGTCTTCACAAAAAAAAAAAATAATAATAATAATAATCTGTCAGACACAAAATGCTATGGTCTCGTTACAGTACCATCCCGTCAGATGTTTTAACCGTTGGTCTATCTTATCTAACTACACGTGGATCTAACGGCTAAAAAACCCGACAAGATGGTACCGTAACCCAAGCTCGTTTCCCCAAAAATAAAAACAATGGTTTGTAAGCTAGTTCAAAATTGAGATTATATCTATCAAATCAGCAAATTTAAATTAGGATATATCTTCCTGACCTAAGGCCAGATAAATGGCAAGCCTTATTTTGTCTACAGCAATAATATGTAAAATGACAACACAATAGAATAGCCAAAACACCAACATTTGAACTGAAACTGATCACACAGAACAAAACAAACTCTCATCCTCAAATAAACTGCAATAATAATATTAATTCCGACGTAATTAACTAACTATACTTCAACCGCAAATCCGGACAACCTTGTAAAAATAGAGAAAATCCAAGGAAACACAAAACCTTTTTGTGAGAGAGCCAAAATCAATTCACCCAGAAGAAAGGCCAAGAGAGAGATCATCCAACTCTAATGATACTACTACAAGATGATCATTCATCACTATAGAAATTTGGGAAAAGAGAAAAAATAATCAAAACCCCACATACCGAAAAACCGAGACATCATTAGTTGAAGCTGAAACCACCGGTGGGGACAGAGACCTCGGCACCTCCAAACTGGAAACCCTGCTCGCTGCTGCCAGGTGGCGCCGGCTCGTCATCCTCCTCCAACCAGTATGTCTCGAGAATCTTGACAGCCTTCTCGTAAATCTCGGTATTGTCGTGACTCTGAAGGTTCTCGATTTTCTCGAGCCCATCAGCATCGTCGATCATCTGCGCGTAGAGGTTGGCATCTCCTGTGTGGCCCAGATTCTTCTCCGCCTCGCCCACCTTCAGAATGTTTTCGAGCCCCTCTAAGCACACGGTTACTATCCTCGGGTCCGGGCAAACGAGAAGGTCACACAAGGGCTTGATACATTGTTGGCTCACGAGGTACCTGTTTTTTTTTTTTTTTTTTTTCCGGAAAATTTGTTATATTCAAAAGCGGCCATTAAATATGAAGAAAAATCAATTTCACTCCGGTGGTGAAAATTTCTCCCGAAAGTGGGAAGGGAATTTTAGGAAAAAAAAAACTAGACTATTCACTTCATTTTCATTTTTCTCCTTCACCAATCTCTCATCTATATAAATAACTTTCTAAAAGAACGAATCAGTATAATAATATTCCGAATCTCCTATAACAATCATTTATAGTCACTACTCACTATATTACGGTTTAGATGGCGATTTACGTCAAACTTTAGGGGGTGTTTGCATATAAAATAATCAAATACATCACTCGATTCATACTCAAAATCTAACTCAACTTTAACTCAACCACACTATCCTCAATATTATCAATATAATTAAATAATATTAATCTATCATTCTTACACATCATACCAACTGTAACACACTATTTATTCACTCATGTAATATTGACTATCCATCACTTCACATTATATTTCTGCTACTTTTACATCAAATCAACTATAATGATTTTATTTTAAATATTATTTTAATATAACTCAAAATTCCACTAACAACTAATCATACTACCTTTTTTAAAATTAACCATGGCTAACCAAAAAAACTCGTTTTGAGCGGATATATTTGTATCCAAGCACGGCATTGTATCTTCATCATTATCCCAGTCACATTCATTAAAAAAAAAAATCATAACTGTACTCAAGTGGAAAGAAAATAGGTAAATGGAGTATATCCGGTCACAGCGTGTTGATATTTAAACAACTCACTTGATTTGCTCGTGAGTGCCACCAGATGTTGCGTTTGATATTGCCCAAGCAGCCTCCTTTTTGACATCGAATTCGGCGGTCAGAAGCAACTGGACTAATGGTCCAATAATGTTGGCCACGATTACGGACTGCATCCAAACAAATAAAAATAACCCCAGTGAGTAAGTAATAATGTACTATACTTGAACAGAAAATATGTAAAGTGAACTCAAGGAAGTATTTTAAGTATTCTTCATTTAACCTGAATTTGATCCTTGTTTCCAGCCGTGATATTGGAAATAGTCCAGCAGGCTTCCTTTTTAATGCTCTTCTTATGAGCTCCACTCAAGAGGTTCAGGAGACGGGGCAGTGCATTATTGTCGATAATATCCTGCAAACAGTCATAGAAATTCCATGAGAAATGGTTATAATCCACTTAACAAGATTAAATAAGCATATGTTCAATCAATTTTTTCTTTAGGTGCAAATAAAGAAAACTATAAATTGCCCAAACAGAAGAGACTGCCAAAGCTTTAAGATGCCAAATACAGTTAACACTTAACAGGTGCAGCACAACAATTTGTGTCAGGTGCAAATTGCTAGTCATTAGTATCAGTTAACAAATAAATGCTGAATTTCAAAATCCAGCAATAAGAGTATAACAATTGTGGTATATGGGCTCCCAATTATATTGTTCATAACATTCAATCTTCTTGTACTACAAGAGGCTACAACAGACTCCCATTCTATATTGCAGATGTTCTAAGCAAACTGGTGTAAATATCTCAGCTATAAGATCAATTAGTAAATATATTATTCACTGATGATTGATATATTCAATAAATTAATCAAGATATAGTGCCCATGGGTACCAAATATATTAAAGAATAGAAAGTATTGGTTTATCAGCTTCATGATACCACTCGCAACAGTAGCATTTATTTTAGATAATAAACGGTGGAAATTGATTTCAGTATTAATCACTTTCATATGAGAAGGAGTCTCCGAAGCATTTAAATATTAGCAACTCAAGTTAAAAAAATATTATCAAAATTAACTAGGGGTGAATTCGATCCAAATTGAGGTCCTGTAATTTTTTGCTTGCCAACTAACCATGTTACAAAAATGTTAATTGTGGAAAGAATAATACAAAACAGTGACACATAAATGGATTTGGTTCATCATACCTGAGTTTGTATATCATCTCCAGTGACAATATTTCCAACAGTCCGAAGGGCGGGAATAAGAACGGATGGTGATGGATGACTGCAATGCACAATTAGTTCATCCATCAGCCACATAAGAAAGAAAGAGAAGAGAAAAGAAGAAATGTTTAACGTATAACAAAATAACAGAGATACTAACAGCAACAACTCGACTAAGCGAGGGCATACTCCAGAGCCAATCACAGCTTGAATTTTATCATTGGTTCCATCAGAAAGATATGAAAGTGCCCAACAAGCATCAGTCAGAACTTCTTCATCACTTGAGTAAATAAGTTTCTGGAGAACTGGAAGTGCAGGCCTCGTCTGTTCATAAGGACAGTAAATATTAGTAAACAATTACTCATGATTCAATGAAAGTTTACCCTTCTTTCAGATCTTGTGTTGAAAAAACTCCTAAGTTTAAAGTATTTTTACATTGTGGTAAACTTATTCAATATAATAAGTGCTTATGGAGTTACTTATGGAGAGTCAAAGAAGCACCTAGTCTAGAAAATATATCACGGGAGAAGTCTTTCAACTCATTAAAACAAGCAAACTATAACCAGAACAGCCTTTCTTCTGAGTGTGATTTCTAGAGAACACTAAATAACATCAATAACTCAGAACAGATCTTGGTAGCTTACTATTTGAAACTTGAAAATCTGAACTGAAACCACAGAAGCAGACTATAACCAGAAGTATTCTGGATTTATGTAATATGATAGAAACAGTTATTAGTTGGGTTAAAAAGTGACATTCAATCTAAAAGAAGAAATAAAATGCTCTACAGTATACAACAAAATTTTCTGATTGGTACTTCTACATAAATAATGAGTAACCCACCATAAAATTCATGGACAAGCATGCCCTCAAAGATTCTCATGCATATTGTAAGATGGAGCAACTGGCTAATAACCAAGCTTAAAGCAAACCTGTTCAAACGCAGGCTGTGGCTTGCCTCTGCAGAAGTTAGACAGTGTCCAGGTAGCATTTCTGAGCATAGATAATTTGGCATGCTCATTCAACTGAGATAGCAAAGGACCCAAGGCTCCAAGACCAAGCACAAGGTCACGACAATTTGGAGAATCACCCGCCACATTTCCCAAAGCCCATACAGCCTAAATTGTAAAATTGAACAGCCAAATTATTATTATTATTATTATTATTATTATTATTATTATTATTATTATTATTATTATTATTATTATTATTATTATTATTATTATTATTATTATTATTATCAGAAGTATAAAATGCTCCAGAAACAACACAGAATAACTCTTGAATATAATAAACTCACCTGCTCACGAACGTCATCACTTGGAGAAGCAAGAAGCTTCACAAATATTGGGACTGCTCCATGATCAATTACTACCTTAGTGTGCTCAGATGTGCCAGAAGCGATATTAGTCAGAGCCCAAGCTGCCTCAAACTGCATTCAACATTTAAAAATAATATATATATATAT